AATATTTGTTAAATGGTGTTTTAGGTAGTTCAAAATGTTTATAAAAGTCAAAGGTCATTTTGGAAAATCCTTCTTTTATTTGGGTTATTTTCATGTATTTCCCATTGATAATTACAGACAGTGGTTTGAAGATTGGTTATTTACGACAGAAGCCCCCGTCTACATCTCTGCCATAAATGACAGAAATAGAAAAAAAAAATTTATTTCTTCTATTATGATAGGGTCTTATAAAAACAGGAGATTATCATGAAGTTAAAGCAGCACATGTTGAGCTTGCAGAACGGATGCGCAAGGTCAGAAGAGTTTATTTCTTCTATTATGATTTTCATAACACCATTACTGAAAAACATGAATTTAAATATGTTGCTGAAAGGATCGTGGCACAGTACGTATTCAACGAAAAAGGGTCACATGGCGGCACAGAGTATGGTGTTCTGCGGAATTTGGTTCATCTCAAACATATGCCAGGATAAGCAAACAAATTCAATCATCAATAACAAATTCAAATAGACAGGTGAGTAGAACAACATATACATACAAAAAGAATTGTATATGCACGCATACACATGCACACAAATCTTAAAGAGGTGGAATTATTAATTTTTTTTTTATTTTTTGGCTCAATAAACGAGGAAACAGAAAATTAATTCAGTGCATAAATGATATGTATTTTGGATGTCAAAGTTAAATTGTAAATATTTCTATGAAGGATTCTGATCTTAGCATGGTGAATCTGATATCAATTGTTGACATTTATTTGTAATCATGCTAAGAATCAAGAATCACCATATAATAAATTAATAAGAACGAATTCATACCTGCGGAAGCCATTGTTGATATGAATTATAGTTGTAATAGCAGACAAGATCTTCCCCTCCTTGCTCCTCACAAAAGTATTAGTTATCAATGGGGTAAACTAATGAAAACATATGGAGAGGAGAGGGGACCTAACCTTTATATATAGGAAATAATTGAGCCGTTCTATTACGACTAGAATTCTAATTAGGGTTTATTTTCAGCCCACATATTTTAAATTACCATATCAAATTAATTACAACCCATAAGGTGTAAAAGACCCAATTGATCACTTAATAAATTTGGCCCAAACACAAATATCATTATGAGCCATATATCTAACCCGTAAAATTTTGCAATCGAATGTGAAGCCCACATATGAAGTTATTAATTATTCCAACATTTCCAACAACCAATTTATTGGAATCTATACCATATTTGTACGAGGTACACTGTGAGGGGGCCATTTTTACTAATATTTGGAATGGTTTTGATCTCTTTCTTACCTGCATCTCCTGGGAGGAAATGGATAAGGAAACACTTTAAAATCAAATAAGGAAAAAGGGAACATGGAAATTCCCTAAAGTTGAAATAAACTTTGATAATAATTTTAAATCAAATTTAAATAATGTCCAACATAATTCTTTAATTTATTACTCCATTAAAATAATGGTTCACATAAATTCTAGAAAATTGAAGGTAATAAAATAACAATCTATTTTCTTTAAACATGTTGGACTTTTTTCATCATTGGATATCTACTTGACTTGGACTCTCTAGTGGCTGAAAATTAATGCTAGGCCCTAAATAAAATTTCTCACATTGGTAAAATTATGGATATTACATCTCCTTCCCCTTGAAACAATTTCATACTCGAAATTTATCTTGTTGATTTTTTCTTCTTTCGCTCAAGTTGTCCATTCTATTCCATGATTCTGCCGCTAAATTTTCATTGAGGGTATTTCCCTATTTCTTAACATATGAACCTTCACGTACAAAATTCCTATTGGGGATCGTCATAAGATAAGTCTTTCTGTATTTTCAATAACTGATAATCCATCGTGTGTTGTCAATCCTACACTTACTTTTTAGTTATTGACACATGAAACACATTATGCATTACTGAGAATTGGGGTAGTAAGGCGAGATGATACGCCACGCTTTCAATCCTCTCGAGTATTTCAAAATGGTCTCAACTTTACTTTCTTGGCAAAAGGAAGCATTCCCTTCATTGAAGCTACTTTTAGAAAAAATTATCACAAACTTCAGTTTCCAAATCCTTCCATCTATGATAGACATAACACTTGTGTCAATTATATGTTGCCTTTATTTTGGCTCTTATTTTGTAAATAGCCTGAACTATTCATTCAAAAATTTCTAGACCCAAAACTCTCTTTTCTTTGAATTTGTCCTTGTGAATCAAAGATCTATATATACTGCCATAGAAAACTTCATAAGGTGTTATTCCTATGGTTGCTCAAAAATGGTTATTGCAAGCTATAACTACACCAGTGGTAAATAAGTTTTCCAACTGCCGTCTAAATCAAAGACACGAGTCAATAATGTCTTCAAAAATTGGAATAGTTCTCTTGAACTTTCCGTTAGATTGATGATGATAAGTGATACCCAACTTAAGTTTTGTGTGAAAATCACGTCCAAATAACAACTAGGTAAAGAAAGGACCACGCTAAGATTAAAGTGAGAGAGACAAAAGAATAAAAAATTTAAATTTAACAAAAGTACACGTATCAGTCTTCATTGAACGTGGCGCTCTTCATCCACTTCTATGCTTGGCCAAACGTTTCTAAACTAGAGTAAATGAATGATGAAGAAGTGAATCTTATGAGGATTACGAATTATTACTCATGTTCTCATGTCCACAGTGAGAAATGTTAGCTTGTCTAATATGGAGAGAACCTTAAGTAAGGTTATCACATTTAAAGAGAAGTGTAAGTAAGATTTTCCTGTTACATCAGTAAGCGAGCAATTTTATCCTATCTACTGTGGGTATGAGAACAATTTCTCACAAATTATATTGATTAAAAATAATTTAATTAAGCTCTTATTTGCTATAGATTAAAATCAATTAAAAATCATAAGTCAAATTCAATAATTATGTTTAATCACATATTTCATTAGATGCATAACTTTTCAACCATATATATTTTTAATTTTTATCAAAATATAGTAAAAAGTTAATTTTAATCTTTATCAAACATGATATGGCATTTACAAACACTTGAGACAAATTACAAGACAATTTTTCTCAAATTCCAAATAAAAAATGCGCCGTGAACACCCGTCTCAGCGGTGCTTTTCAATTACACTTTTACCCTTGAACAAAAATCCCCATAAAATACTACTGTAATAGGAAAAACCCCTCTTAAATCTTCTTCTCCAAGTACGGGTGGACAACCTTTCTCAGCACCTTTGATTTTCTCATATTTCGCCCTCACTGTCACCATCTACAAGGTAATCCATATGCATATCTGTTGATTATTCGTTTATTATTAATTGGTTATTTTATTTTAATCGACGTTTTTAGCTGTCAATTCAATATCAATCATTCATGTCTAATTCTAATGTAAATTCGTTTTTTAGTAGTGAATACATGGTGGGAGGTGCTTCAGCTTCCGGTGCTTCCGGGAATGTCGCCGGCGTGAGAATCGTCGTCGCTGGAGATGCCAAGACCGGGAAATCGAGCTTGATAGTTACGGCCGCTACTGATAATTATCCGAACAATGTCCCTCCACTGCTACCGCCCACTAGGCTCCCCGAAGATGTTTACCCTGATCGTGTCCCTGTTACAGTAATTGACACTTCCTCGAGGTCCGCGTCCTCTCTTTCTTTTTCTCTTATGTACATATATGTTTGTTTGTGCGCGCTTATTCTTATGTGTGAGTACTTGTGACTAGAGTTTTATATATCGCAATATGGATTATGTATATTTCATGGTTTTGAGAAAGGAGTCAATTGAGCTCAGCTGCTTTCAACAAAGTGAAATTATACTCTCTTTTGGGTATAGTATGTCAAGGTTCACTTTTTATGGAATGGGAACGAATAATCATTACATGTGGACTGAAACGCCATTTGTGCTTTCTTTACTAGAGAAATATCTAATGAACATAATTACTTGTGAGGTGATTTGTCAACCCTTGTCTTTTTTCATGTGCTATGGTGCCAGGTCTGTATCCATATCCGATTTGTCTCGTATTTGTCCACAATACTCCTTGGACACTCGAAGACATGTACGCATTTTTCTTCCCCTGCATTAGTAATATATTGTTTAAGTAAAAGTTTTCGTGAACAAAAATCAAAACTAGAAAAGTGTTGATTTTCCCCAAAAAAAGGGGTATGTAAATAAACATATAACATATAAATCTTCAATTGTCAAGAATTTAAATTAACGTGCCCTGAAGCTCCCTAGTCTTAGTTTTTTTGTGAATTCATGTGTTGTGTCCGTATCATGTCATGTGCATGCAATACAACACATTTGCTATGTTGTACTGACATAGCTTTTAAAAAAAAAAAAAAAAAAAAATGCTAACACGACACATTGATGACACGTTGATTAAATTATTTAAAATACTTCATTTATATGATATAAATTTAATTTTATACTCAATATTAATTTTTTAAAATACTTTAAATATCAGTAACCATTTATTATTTAATAATAACTTTGAGTTGAAAATATGCCCTTGTATGCCTCCCTTTAAAACAAAAAATTTTAATTCTCATACATATTTTGAATCACATATTCACACAATTAAATATTTTGCACGTAAACCTAAAATTTTTCCGTAGTTTTTAACCACATATTCTATGAAAAATCACCATTCAATAAATCATTTTTCTCAATAATGGCCATCAAACAGGGCTATGTAATATTTAGATTAAAAAAGAAACAATACCTTGGTAGAGCGTCCAAGGAATGTTGATATCCGACACGTGTCTGACACAGACACACCACCCTAGTTGAAGTGTTTGTACAACCCATCACATTTGAGACTAGAGAGTGCTTTTTATTTAATTTGCATTTAAGCTCATCATTATTCCACCAAGATCCCTTTATTTCGGAAATTTTATAATATGTATATGTGATGTCCCATATCAATTTAACACGTGTAAGTGACCTCGTATTTATAAAACAGGGATCCCTAGCATGGGGAAAATGGAATTATAAATATAATTTTAGTCTACAACTAATTGGTAGTAATATGTGCACGCCCTTGCACATACTTATGTGTTTTGCATTAATATGGAACCCGTTTTGTAGGATTAAAGTGGTTTGTCAAAGCATATGATCACACGCATCAATAGGTTGTATATGCTTCTGATTTTGTAAGCGTGTCCATAATCTCATGGATCTGATCAAAATGAAACAAGTGTTCAACTAGATTCTTCTATGTGCTCCCTGATATATTGAGTTTAATTTATTTCATAGTAAGGTTTCTCCCCCATAATAAGGTAACCAAATGTTTTTTTTGGTTCATTTGCAATTGCAATTGCTTGATATTTGTATATGTTAACTGTTGTTTCTCTTTGGATGTTTGTTACTGCATATGTTTGTTTCATTGTACTTCTTGATATTTGTATATGTTAACTGTTTCTTCTCTTTGGATCTTTTTACTGCATATGTTTGTTTCATTGTACTTCTTTTGAGTTGAAACTTACCAATTTTTTGTTGGCTATATATGGGAAGTAGCCCTGAGAATAGAGGTAGACTTGTTGAAGAGATAATGAGAGCCGATGCTGTTGTTCTAACCTACGCATGTGATAGGCTTGAAACTCTTGATCGGCTGAGTACTTTCTGGCTTCCTGAACTTCGAAGATTAGAGGTATTTAAATGAAACCATTACTTGTTCATTTTATTGAAGTTGCATTACTGCTTGCCTAATTGTTATTTTAGAGCTCACAGAATTACCTCTAGTTTCCAAAGTCAAAAATCTCGATCATTATTATGAAACTTTGGTTTATTCTACACTTCGTTTTACCCCTTTAACTAGTGCACTTAACACATGTTTGGGCAGGTTAATGTGCCTGTTATTGTGGTGGGTTGTATGCTAGATAAGAGGGATGATCAACATTCAGTTAGTTTGGAGCAGGTTATGTCACCAATAATGCAACAGTTTCGTGAGATTGAAACTTGTATTGAATGTTCTGCACTAAACCATATTCAGGTAAAATCTAATTCACCCCAGTAATCTATGGCTACAAAGCTGATTTTATTTAAAGTTGCAATGTCGGCATCTTATATTTGTAGGATGTATATATTAACAATTCATTTTCTTCCACCAATCATTATTGCAATTTATGGCTCTGTTTGTCTTTTTGCTTTCATCCACTTTCAAATGTTTCATTCTATGAAATTTTGCCAATTTGAAATAGGCTGAGAGATGGGCTTGAGTCAGAAATGATAAGTTTGATAGCTCAATACGCAAAATAACAATTCTGTTATACATTCATTACTTCTGAAGCTCTCTATCAAGACTAACTAGTGTAATGGTTGGTGATTTCCTGTTTGCAGGTTCCTGAGGTTTTCTACTATGCACAAAAAGCTGTGCTTCATCCAACTGCTCCATTGTTTGATCAGGAACAACAAGTGTTGAGGCCACGATGTGTGAGGGCTTTGAAAAGGATATTTATCCTTTGTGACCATGACAGAGATGGTGCTCTCTCTGATGCAGAGTTGAATGACTTTCAGGTCATTTCGTTATCATTTTGTTATAATATGGCTCTTAATATCTTCATTTACATGTATGTTTTGACACTTCACATCTGCATCTACATCTACATGTATGCTTCCTGAATATTACCAGTTTGCGTGAGCCTTCTCTTTTGCTAGACACTGAAATGATTTAGTAATAAGTGCAGGTAAAATGTTTCAATGCTCCACTACAACCATCTGAAATAGTAGTTGTTAAGAGCGTTGTGCAAGAAAAATTGAGGGAAGGTGTTGATGATCGTGGTCTTACATTGACCGGATTCCTCTTTCTCCATGCACTTTTTATCGAGAAGGGCCGTTTAGAGACAACGTGGACTGTCCTACGGAAATTTGGGTATAACAATGAAATCAGACTCCATGATGATCAGCTGCCACCACCAATAAAGAGATATCCTGACCAGGCAAGTTACCCTTTGGATGAGCTTAACTATTAGTGTGGACAATCTGAATATACAATACATAGAAAATGTTTTCCTATTTAGTTTAATCCATTCTGCTTATTCTCATCAAATCTTTTCAAGTTGTATGCCAACGTTGTGTGTGACCCTTTTTAATACCATTCAGAAACTGTCATAAATTTCTTTTGATTTCACTCAGTTGATGCCAATTTCAGATGTAAAAATTAACGCATCATAAAAATCTTCATCTGTTACTTGCTAACTTTGGTAATGGTTATGTTCATTGTTTTCAACTACCAAATTGTATATAAAGTTGCTGTTCACTACCAATGATGAATGTTTTCTTATTTTCTGCTTTTTATCTATTCATCATCTATCTAATGCTATATGACTGAGATCCATAAAGATCGTTCTAGAACATCACAAATAGAAGTTTGTCTTCATGATGTCCTCTATGATATTCTCCTAATTCATGTTTTATATGCACCATGACGGTAATTTAGCGTTCTATTTCTATCAGCACTATTGTCAAATCTTTGAGAGTGGTTTTTTTTTTTTTTGCCTTCCATGATCTCTTTGTCTTTTCTTTTAATTTCTGAATCTTTATTGTCATTTCTGTAGAGCACGGAGCTGACTAACGAAGCTGTGGAATTTCTCAGAAGAATTTTCGCCACATTTGACATTGATGGTGTATGTGAAGTCTTTTTCCTTAAAATTTGATGTTCTAATAATCATTTTAATATTTAGTTGATATGATTAGAGACCGTGTTTATTAAGACAGTTTATTCTCTTGAATAATCCATCATATGATCTTTGATTTTATTCGTAAACAGTTTCCTAAAGTCTGGATGTTTCATTATGGTCATTGTAGGTCAAACAGCCAGTTACTCCTGCACGCAAATGAAATGTTTTAGCATTTTGAAGAAAGTTACCATTTAATAGTTTGTGTACAACAACAACTTGGTGTTTGCTCAATTTTAATTTGTAAAACTTGTTTGAAGAACTATACCTAGCAAAACAAGCGCTTAAATGATCTATAAGCTTTATTCCTGAAAAACTCGGTGTCAGCTACATGAATTTTTTTCACTGTTCTGTATGCTTCCATGCTACAATTCCTAAAATATCAAGTAAAATAAAAATATTTTGCAATTACATAATGCCATAACCATTTTGGTCAACATCTCTCCTGACGTGTTCTAGTGAGAATTTGCGTTAGTGTATGAGATAAAAAGATGAATGGAAGCAGAGCGTGGTAGGAGTGAGACTTTAGTTAAGAGCAAATTAAGCTTTTAAAGTTAGCTTTTAACTGGCTAAAAGATGGGCCTGATGCCAATGTTGTTATGTGGATTTTTTAAGTTTTGGAGAAATCAAGGTAAGATGACCAACAGCACAGCCAAATATCATTTACAGTGGGCTTTAACATATTTGCATAATTTGGTTTCTAAAACATTGTAATAAGGATAGCAAATTTGTATGGAACCTTATCTCGGGATGCATTGCATGGTGTGTTTGGAGAGAAAGAAACAACCGCTGTTTCTAAGATCAAACAAAGACAATAGCACAGATTGGGGAAATGTTTTATTTGACTTTGTATAATTGGTTTAATGCCGTGGCTAAAAATTCTATAGAAGAGTTGCCTAATTTCATGACGTTCCCCAATGGTAGGATATAGGATTCAATAATTTCAAGTGATTTGTGTGTTCCCATGTTTTAGTTTATATTATTTACTTATCAATGAGACCTGGTGCTCCTGCTATTTAATTATAGTTCACAATGTCTTAAAATGTTGATTTTTTCAGGATGGAGCTCTTCGTTCCGCTGAGCTTGAGGATTTGTTTTCTACTGCACCAGAAAAGTAATGTATTCTTCTTTAATATCCTTATGATCTTCATTTCCTCCAACAAATGAAATTTCCTCTTTTCAAGAAATTCACATGTTTTCTACTGCTCCTGAAGAGTAATTATTTTTTATTACATTCTTACACACTTTTTTGCTTCAACACGCAAAGATCCCTCGTTTTCCTTTCATTTGTTCAGGTGTTTTTGGCGCATATAATAAATTTCAAGTGGTAAACAGAGATGCAATAGGTGTTATGAGCTTCTGGAAAAAAATAAAAGCTTATTCCTTAATCTTTAAAATCAATCCGATTCTGAAGTGTGGGTTACTACTGAAAGCTATGCAAAATTTTGGCATAAACGATAACAGTTGTAATATAACAACATTGTTATCTGTTTTCTTCGACGGCTAATCTGCTAGAAGATTATTGAAGACCTCTTGCTTCACTTGAAATGGTGTATTTTATAATTTTAACTTGTTCTGGGTTTTTGTGTACTCTTTCTTGCTTTATAGACAAAATGGCAATTTGGTCTTTAAATATGATTTTTTTAGTGTTATATTAAAAAATGTGCAACTTTCATTGATATTGTTGTAGCTCCCCTGAGATATGTAAAGAAAAGCCAATATCGTATAGCTACGGGTAGTATCGGAAAATCAGGAGTATCTTACACTCTTATTTTAGAGTGGCTATGATAATCAAGTCATGCATGTAGGATTAAGATAATTTGCAATGGGCGTATTTAAATGAAAATAAAATATCTTTAATTCTCATACTTTTTTTCAACCGCAAATTTACGTAATAGAATATTTTGCACGTAAATTAAAAACTTTTCCTACTTTTTAAGAGTACATTTGCCAAAAAAATCACTATTCAAAACTTTATTTTCTCAAAATAATGGCCATCAAACAGGGGTTGACTTTAGTCTGCACAAATAAAAAATTATGGAGTTCAGAAGAAAGCAAGTCTAAAATAATGTAAGAAGGTCAGTATTGATGGTGTATGTGAAGTCTTTTTCCTTAAAATTTGATGTTCTAATAATCATTTTAATATTTAGTTGATATGATTAGAGACCGTGTTTATTAAGACAGTTTATTCTCTTGAATAATCCATCATATGATCTTTGATTTTATTCGTAAACAGTTTCCTAAAGTCTGGATGTTTCATTATGGTCATTGTAGGTCAAACAGCCAGTTACTCCTGCACGCAAATGAAATGTTTTAGCATTTTGAAGAAAGTTACCATTTAATAGTTTGTGTACAACAACAACTTGGTGTTTGCTCAATTTTAATTTGTAAAACTTGTTTGAAGAACTATACCTAGCAAAACAAGCGCTTAAATGATCTATAAGCTTTATTCCTGAAAAACTCGGTGTCAGCTACATGAATTTTTTTCACTGTTCTGTATGCTTCCATGCTACAATTCCTAAAATATCAAGTAAAATAAAAATATTTTGCAATTACATAATGCCATAACCATTTTGGTCAACATCTCTCCTGACGTGTTCTAGTGAGAATTTGCGTTAGTGTATGAGATAAAAAGATGAATGGAAGCAGAGCGTGGTAGGAGTGAGACTTTAGTTAAGAGCAAATTAAGCTTTTAAAGTTAGCTTTTAACTGGCTAAAAGATGGGCCTGATGCCAATGTTGTTATGTGGATTTTTTAAGTTTTGGAGAAATCAAGGTAAGATGACCAACAGCACAGCCAAATATCATTTACAGTGGGCTTTAACATATTTGCATAATTTGGTTTCTAAAACATTGTAATAAGGATAGCAAATTTGTATGGAACCTTATCTCGGGATGCATTGCATGGTGTGTTTGGAGAGAAAGGAACAACCGCTGTTTCGAAGACCAAACAAAGACAGCAGCGCAGATTAAAGAAATGTTTCATTTGACTCTGTATAATTGATTTAATGTCACGGCTAAAAATCCTATAGAAGGGTTGCCTAATTTCATGTTATTCCTCTCTTGCTTAAAGTGATTGTACACATCCCGTGTAATCTCTTTTAATTAATAAAATTTTGATTACCTATTAAAAAAAACAATGGTGTACATTCATTTGGGTTGGAGGACATTGTTTCAGCTGGTGCTCATTTAAAAGGGCTTGCTTCACATATATTGTAAATCTGCTTTCTAACTATATCTGGGGAAGCATTTTGGTATGCATTATCATGGTAGGATATAGGATTCAATAATTTCAAGTGATTTGTGTGTTCCCATGTTTTAGTTTATATTATTTACTTATCAATGAGACCTGGTGCTCCTGCTATTTAATTATAGTTCACAATGTCTTAAAATGTTGATTTTTTCAGGATGGAGCTCTTCGTTCCGCTGAGCTTGAGGATTTGTTTTCTACTGCACCAGAAAAGTAATGTATTCTTCTTTAATATCCTTATGATCTTCATTTCCTCCAACAAATGAAATTTCCTCTTTTCAAGAAATTCACATGTTTTCTACTGCTCCTGAAGAGTAATTATTTTTTATTACATTCTTACACACTTTTTTGCTTCAACACGCAAAGATCCCTCGTTTTCCTTTCATTTGTTCAGGTGTTTTTGGCGCATATAATAAATTTCAANTGCACATGCACATGCACATGCACATGCACATACATAAATAATTGAAAACTCCATATAACAATTTCTAACAAGATGATAAAATTTACATTTAGTCTACTGATGTTTGCCCAAACTGGCACTCCATCCTGGGGGGGTATGAAATTGTACAGATGCAGACTTTGGTGAATAGAATAAGCAATATTTTTTCCCTCCCCAATTCTCCTCTCTTTCAGCCCTCTATCCTCTTTCTCTTCTTCTTTAGTTCCTCCTCTTCTCCTCTCCTCTCTTCTCTTCCCGTTACCCCTTCTTCGACAACTTTTCTTCTAGTATACAGTTTGTTTTCCGTCGTCCGATGTCAAATTCTCCGCAAGATATTTAGAACACTTCTGATAAATTTGGATTAGCATGTTTTATGTAACTGAAAAAATGGACAAGCTTGACTGGTCAATTTATTTTATAGGCCAAGGACCATATCTACTCTTCATCTTGTATGTTATCTTTTATGTGCCTGTAAATTTTCTTTGACAAATGTGTTTTTTCTAGTGGTCCCTAATGACACTTCTGGATCCAATTCGTACCATGGAGACCCTGATATACATTGGATATGGTACTGATCCCTCAACTGCCATCCGTGTAACTCGAAGAAGACGTTTAAATCGTAGGAAGCAGCAAACGGACAGAACTGTGTGCCACTGCTTTGTTTTTGGACCAAAAGAGGCTGGGAAGTCTGCAATACTGAATTCTTTCATTGGAAGGTAAAATATGCTGCTTATGTGGTAAATTTTTAATTATTTTTCTTAGATTTGTTTCCAGTTTCTTAATATTAGTCAGGTCTTGTAAAACAAGTCATTCATTCTGCAGACTTTTTCCTGAAGAATATGTTCCCACTACCAATGATCGCTATGCTGTTAATTCAGTTGATCAACCTCTGGTACGTTTCATAAAGCAAGACAAGACTCATAAAATAAAAATGGTAAATTGCTAGAACGCGGTCTGCATCTGTGGACTGGCATATGCATAACTACGAGCATGGATTTGTACACAATTGTGGTGTTCACTGTATTATGCACAATAAAAGGCACTGTGATAATCATTAGAAACAATGTTACCTAATAAGCACAATGCTATAGTTCACCAAAATGTGTATGGAAATGTAATCTGACATAAAATACGAATGTAGTATTCAAGGGTTAGATATCTTTAGTTTACACAGTTGATATACTGTGAATAGTCATTGTAATAGGTTCACCCTAGAGAAAAGTTTCCGTTCTTGAAACCGGAGCTCTTCGGAAATTCTATGAAATGTTTTGGAAATTTAGAGAAACTTTATCAACCTTTTGTTTTGAATTAAAATTCAGGAACTTAAAAGAGGCATTTTATAAAAAAATTGGGAACTTTAATTAGGAAAGAAAATTAAGGGCCAGCCAGAAATGCCATTCAGTTGTGGGCTTCAACTAAGAATAACAATTAATTGTGGGCTTTAACCCTTCAATTAAAATAGGGATATAAATTGATAGATTTTATTGCCGGGATTTACCAACAATAAACTACTTCAACAAAGAAAATCTAGTTGGCAAATGAAACTTAGAGAATCACTGAGAAATACCAAATATAAAGAGCATAAGGGAATAGTTTCAACAATAAGATTATGTTATTCTTCTAAGAGCATGTTTGGGAAATGTTATAAGAAGTTTAAATTATAAATAGATAGAAATGAGTGGTTGTTAAGTTGATAGTACTTGTGGATCCCTTGAAATATGTGGATAAAAGTGGATTTAGTGTTTTATAAACATGAGCCAAACATTGGCTAAATGTTTAACTTTAAAATTTTGATGTTGATGTTGTGATACAGATATTGGTAATAATAGAGATACAGATATTGAAGACGATGATGGGAATGAATCTGAAGGAAATTAATCTTACGACATGAATGAACTTTTTTTTGGGATTTTGTAAACTTATTTGATATGATACTTTTTTAAGATTGTATAATGCATCAAATTGAAGTTTTAGTTTGACTGAATTGTGTTATTTTGAATACTATGTTAATGTTAGATAGCTATTTTTAAGATTGAATACTGAGTAATTTATATGAAATTATAATTTTTTATGAAATATTTTTTGTTGTGTTTCATGCCCTTTTTGAGAAATAGTGTCCATATGCGTGTACCGTTTCCATGGAACCTTGGGTTGTGCATCATAATGTGCTTGCATTTTTGGTTCAAGTTAACTTCTGATGAGATTAGAAAACCTAGAAAGGTAAATTTTTCTAGTCAATTTGTCATAGTAATAGAGGAAAACATTGTAAATACAGTGGATTGGAAATAAGAAAAGGAGAAGAAATCAACTTGTATTTGAAAGAGAGCTTTTGGTGCTGAAAAGCCTCAAAAATCTTGGGAGCTTATTAATTCGAAGAGGACTGCAAAATAGTAAAGCCAACTCAAATATAATCTTAATTTCTTGCTATTTCCCGAAATGTATAGAGATGTTAAGGAATTTATCACCTCAGACAAAGGAACACAAGAAAACTCTTGTAACATGCTTCTTTTGACCACAATTTCTCAGGATAGTTGATCCCAATTAATGTTTTGAGCGTTTCTCTGACTCTTATTTTACTTTCATGTGAAAATATTTATATAATGAAGGTATGGTTTTATATTTTGTGATGACAGGGAGCTAAGAAAACTCTTGTATTACGAGAGATACCAGAGCAAGGAGTGAAAAAAATATTATCCAGCAGGGATGCTTTGGCAGCATGTGATGTGGCAGTGTTTGTTCATGACAGGTAGCTGATATGCCATTTTTCCAACTGACTTAAAAAGAATAATATAAGTGATTGTTAGTGTTTTGAATCATATTGATATAAATCACTTGGTGGTGTAGTTGACACTTCACTATTACCACATTATGTTTTGGCATAACTTGGTTTTTGATGTTTCTAAAATTTTAGTGTATTTCATTTGGCATTATTCTTTTTCTGAATGATATTTTCTTTAATTATCCCTTTTTCTTTTCCTTTCTTGTTTTTGTTTTTGTTTTTTTTTTTGTTTTTGTTTTTTTTTTTTTTTTTTTTTTTTTT